CAATATAACAAAGAGTGAAAAATTTAAGGGGGTCTGAATACTTTCCGTACCCACTGTATACAAAAATTCATACTTTATGCGGACCCCCTGGCCTTACGTCAAGGACCACTAGGGGTCCACGGACCCCTGGTTGAGAAACACTGTTCTAAAACACTGATTAGCGAGATTCTTGTTATTCAGAAAATATTAAATTTTATTCTACAACGACTTTTGATGTTTTTTTTAAGCAAATGAATGAAAGGCATTTGCTTCCATTTAGACAACTTGAAGTGTTAGTTCATCCAAAAATGATTATCATTATTTACTCGCTATAGTAAACTGTCTGTTTTTCAGTTCATTCTTGATTCAGTTCAATTTAAGAACTTTGTGGAATGAGTTAATTTCTTTTCTATGAAGCATGTCATCATCCAGCTCAGTCCAGGGGCCAGTTGCATAGACTGTTGCTTTGACCAACTAGCAATTGTCTTACTTTTCCAATACAAATAATAGACCAATCTACCTTTTCATAACTGAATTGAATTTAAAAAGTGATTACCAGTCTTGAAGAAAAAAAATTAGATGACTAACTTTTTAAGACTAGTCTAAACCGTTTATGCAACTGGCCCCAATTCTCATCAGTAGTGTCTGTGCAATCAAGTCAATAATATTGCCAAATATTAAGTGTCCCCAAATATTAAGTGCTGAATTGATTATATTAAGTACTTTTAACTGTAGGTCAATCTAACTAGATGGCAGTCTACAAAATGCTTATCCACACATATCTTATACAAAAAAAAAAAACTGAGTGAGAATTTAATATGAACGAATGTTATGGCTAAATAAAGCTGTTTGTTCTTTGTTTCAGGTCTGTTCACAATGAGTTGGAGAAACACAGGTAACTAAGTTTTATTTTTGCATTCTGTCCTTCAATTCGGCAATATTGCAATTGTGCTGCTGTTCTACATATTAGTACAGTTTTTCAGTAATTCAGTCCCATCAGTGTGGGAGTGAGATATTGCTTTCTGCAACAGTTCGATAAAGAGTTGCTGTTGAGTAACTTTCATTTTTAGACAGATTTTGCCAAATGAAAAAAAGCACCAAGCTTTAGGCCCAATCCCAATTCTATTTTATACCCCTTGTCCCCTTCCCCTTCCCCTTGTCCCTTGAAACAGAGTGTCAAGGGGTAGGGGTGAAAATATTCCCCTAAGAATTGGGACACCACTACTATGCCGTCACACGTCACCTAGCTCCTACAATACACACACCTATACTGGTGTGCATAGAGCCTTTAATTACCGTTCTATATTAATGCGCTGCTTACTGACACACACACACACACACACACACA